TCACTTCCAGAGTGGTGCACAGCAACTCAAGTGGATGCATCAGAATTACATAAATATAGAGAGTTCTAAGAGTTATTATTTTCCACTCAAAGTCAATGAGAGATTCTCTCCATTCCCCAAGGAGGAAATTCATGAATAGATTTCAAATTTGAGAAGAGAAATTAACTCTGCCATGAACTAAGTGTGAGAGAATTTCATGGTAGAATTTCATTCTACACTTATCAGAACCATTCTCTCTTCCTTTCCAGCTAAAATAATAAATCTTAAGAATCTATAATTTCAGCCCCAAGAAAATTTTCATCCACTTGTAGGAAGTGTTGCAGAATTATAGGTGTTAGAGATATATTTATCAAAATAAATAATGACCTACAAACAGCATCTTCTATGCAAGTTTCATTCTCCTTAGCTTCAAGGAAAATTCAAGCTATAAAATTTAGCTCCTCTTGTAGCTCACAGCTAAATCACTTAAGCCAGCTGCATGAATAAATCTAGTTATAAGAAAATGAGTTAGAGTTCTCCTGTCAAAGACTACTGGAATTCTTTCTTCTCTATTTTCAACATCTTAGCAATTTTCTTTCATATTCTTGTTCAGAAATGTACATGAGAATTTTGGCAAAGTAAAGCTGAATCAGCAGTTTTTGTGGGCCTAAAATAGAAAGTTGGGCTCCTAAGTGAGGGAAGAAGCAAAAATCAAAAAGTTAAATTGCTGTGCCTTTCCTGAAAGACTTAAAAGAGGAAATGCACCATTTTTAAGCAAACCAAATGCTAAGGTCTCATGTATTAATATTTATTCAAAACTTGGTTGCCTGCAGAAATTCTGAACCTTTGAGGACTTCTGCCTATAAATGTTTTATACTGATTTACAAGCAGAGTGAAAAATCAGATTTCCATTTTAAATTAGATTAATTTCCCAGTGCAGGTATCTTTTCTGCTTTGATTTTAAACAGATGAACAAAAGACATTATATGAAAAAACTTTACAATATTTACAAGTTCACAAGAATAACCTCTCTGTGCAGCACACCCTGCAAATACAACAACCAAGGTTTTTCCATCAGTTAAAAAAAAAAAACAAACAATTAAAAAGTCACTTTGTACAAACCAATTCAGAATTAGCCATGTGCTACAAGATTCAGGCTCTTCAATTAGAATTTAAGTGGCTCCAGGTTTTCACATTCAAAAATAATGGAAAATTATTGAAGTGCTTCCTGGTCTGGGCTGTGTAACCTCCCCAGTTTTATCTCTTCTTGTGCAAATACTGATTTCATTACAAATGTATTTATCAGCCACTATGAGGCCAAAATAGTTGTAACCTGTTCATTTTGCTATCAACAGTATATTTTAAGTTATTTACTTTTTAACCTTTCCAATTCTTCATTAAAGTATCAGTTTTTATTGTTTTAAATCTCTTTTGCACTTATTCACACTCAAATCCTGACCATGTGCAACACAACACAACCAATGGTTTGACACTATTTCATGTGCACATAAAACAGTGGGTGCAGACTGTGACAAAACACATTTGGAAATATGGAAATTTGAGCAGTTTGTGAACAAAATCCACCACTAATACCCCATGTGGCTGCTCCTAACCCCCCTGCTGACACTTATTATTTTTTTAATAAGTCCAAGATGTTTTTTGCAAAGGTGCTGGTTGAAGTCTGTCTGCAGAGCACCTGACAAACCACATCTGGTGGCTTCACAAATAAGAGCAGGAAGTTTTAAAGCTCCTTTATTATTTTATTTTGTCATGACAACAGAAAAGAAGAAAAAAAATAGAATTTTTTTAGCAAATCTGTCAGCTCCTGGAGCAGATTTCCCAGGGAACACAAACCTGTTGGAAGGTCCACCAGCTGCAGCTCATTCCTGACCAGTCCCAGATTGTTGGGTGTTGATGTGGCAAAGGAAATGAAGCCAGTCAAGCTGATCCACTCAATTCCCCTGTGATCAGGAGGAAATACATGCAGCATATCAACTAAAATATTTGAATTGTTAGAAGCCTGAACTGAAGTTTTTTTTTTCACATATATTCTTAAAAACCCAGCACAGATGTAATTTTATACATTTTCTGGAAACATCATATTTAAGCATAAAAGGAAGCTACACATTAACAACTATGGTGTGAATATAAGTTACTGAATTAAATTTAAGAGCAGCTTTCTTTTCAGACTTCAGTTAAATAAAAAATTCAGGTATAAACACTGATAACTTCTGCAAAAAGCCCTCACAGATACTCAGCACTAAGAGTGGATTAAAAGCCCTGCTCTGATCAAATCAAGAGTTGCTATCAAACAACTGCAAATTCCCAGCACACAGGAAAATATTCATGTGGGTGGCAGTGTGGGTTGCCTGATTTCTTTCAGCCCAGAGAGAGGAGAAATAAAGATGATATAAAAAGAGAGGCCCTGAAGAGATTTCATAAAAGAACCAAAAACCTGCTTTGGTTTTGGTTTTTTTTTCTTTTAGATCATACCAAAGCAGCTCCCAAGCAAATCACACTGCAGTGCTGCAAGGATGTAAAGTTCCAGTGCTTTAATAAATAAATAAACAATAATAATAAATAAATAAAATTGAACTCAACAGAACATATTGGCAGCACAGATGGACTCTCAGCCAATTCCTGAAAGACACCACAGGGCAAGAGGGACAGAAAGTGGCACTGGGTGGGACTGTCCCTCAACAAGACCCTTCTCCAGCCCCTTTTCCAACACACTTGGTGCCTGCAAAAATTGCTTTATCTGTGAAATAAATCGGGGAACTCTTCTCAAGAAAATTGAACTTTAATACACACATGTGCCCAACTTCATTTTAACACAGATAAAAGGATTGAAGGTTTCCTCAAAGCCTTCAAACACAGATTACTTAAGAACTGTTCCCAGGACAAGTATTCTGGTTCATCAGCTGCCTGCTTTGGAAGAAGATATGTGCAGTATGAGAAAAATAAATAACAATATTGAAGATTTACTATCAGTAAATCCAACTCACACTGCATTAAGTGGAAGTTTCCTAAATACAATGTACATGGGTGAAACCAAAAAGCACTCCCATAATATTCTGCACATCCAATTTACAGCCATATTTATATTATTTTAGTTCAAGCTTTAAAAACATGGGAAGCTTTATTCCTAAATCCTCAAGAAAAGGTAAAATTTAGGACCCAGTCTTTTTCCCAGCAGGACCTATGAAAGTTCAACCATTAATTTCAATCAAAATGAGAAGTATTCAATTAATTGAATTCAATTAATTGAAACATTTCAGGCATGATTGAATAGAAATCTGCAAGTGCAGCAATGGGTGACACTGTAAGTCTCCAAAGGGCCATAAATCCAGGGAGCTTTCTGAAATGGAAGAAATGTGAATTCTGACTCTTTTCCATTTATCTCAGCTATGATTTTTGGAAAAAGTCCACTCCCAATGCATTGTTATTGCTGGTAGTTATTCTCCATTCTCCTGCAAAGACCTGAAGCATTTTCCACACTTCTTTCATCAGCTCAGATTGAACAGGGCAAGTCCTTTCCTCTGCTGCTGCCTGGCCATCTGTCAATAGCAATAAAAATCCACAGAAACCCAAGACACTCGAAATTAAAAGGAAACCTTAGCTCAGCTAACTGCTTGCACCTAAAACAACATAATTTTGTCACTGTCATACACAGAAATTGAGAATTGTTTCAAATTTCAATGATGGAAACAAGTAATGCCTTCCCTATTGAAACAGCAAACATTTCCTAACAAAATCATATTTGCCAGAATGAAGGGTTACATTCAGCTGTCAACCATTCTCAGACTGAATCCACTCTTTTAAAATGCAATATTTAGATTTTCCATACATTCAACTTGTCTCAGTTACTTCAGGAGTGAGACTCAAGTTGTTCTGATTAATGTTTCCAATGCAAACAAATCACAAAGTGCACTGGAGTGGATAAAAACACAAATTACATTTCCAGTTGGGAATAGATTGTTGTGACTTTATGACATGGCAGCTGCTACTTAAATTTAGGGATTCTAAGAAAAAGAGAAAGGCAAAATGGGAAATTAAACCATATGTGCTCCCAAAGTGGTGGTAGATATTTTTCATTCTAATTCCTCTATTCAAGGAAAGTTTTTTTTAAAGAGGTGATGAATGTTTGCAAAGCAGTTTCCCAAAGAGCAGTCAGCTGAAATTCAAATGCTAAAACAGCTTCAATTGAACAGCTAAAATTTGGATGTAATGTAGCAAATTTCAAGTTGTGCCTGCAGGCCATAGACATTCTTGTTACAGCCAGTGAGATTTTAATTTTAAAAATAAAAGCTGTTGCAGCCTTGAACTTGCTGAGCTTCAGTGACAAAGAATGAGCAGCTCTGCTCCACTCTCAGCTATTTCAGTAGCAAATAAGCAAAAGCAGCACTGAGAGCTGCAAATGTGCCACTGAACTGAGAGCTCACTGCAGGATTTGTATTTGCATGGCTCAAAAATATTCTGCTCTGCACTGAAGGTGTTTTATTGTCTCCCTACTGTCCCCAGGTATCACACTTGGTTATTTCTTGACTTCCCCCCTCACACTCCTGGCCTGGTTGATTTTCCCTCTTTGTGTGCTTTAAGCATTTCTGCTGCTTCTTACCTCCATCTCTTTATAAAAATAAAATTCAACTCAACAGAAAAGTATTTACTTCTATAATTCGAAACAAATGTGAAAGATAAGTAATAATCATAAATAAAATTAAAATTCAAGGTTACCCACAAGTATGAAATATCTTAAAAGGAAGGACAGCAAGGTAATTCTGCCCCCTTCTAGTCACAACACAAAGTCTAAATAAAAACAAACAAAAAACTGACCAAACAAAAAAATCAGCAAAAATAACTATAAAATAAATAAATCAGCATGTGATGACATATGTAGAACACTTTAATCTCAAAAAAAAAAAAATAAAAATCATAATAACAAACACCCAAACAACTCAGAGGCCGTTAATTCAGAACACTTGTTTTGTAAGGGGAAATTGCTTTATTTTTATTACATTCTCTTCCTAAATAAAGAGCACTGAGGACTCTGCTGGCCTTGAGTTACAATTTCAGGGTATTCTCAATTACCTACTAAAATAATGATGGTCCCTGAAGGTGTTCTTTCAGATAAAATGGAAGCAGAGGCATTATTCAATCCATCCACATTTTAGAGTAAAGTAACAATTCCCGGTGAAAGAAGAACTTTTGCACTCCGTGAAAATTAATTTAAAAAAAAGAATCTCCATGCCTTCATCTAAATTGCTTGAAGCATTCCCTTGAACTTGTAAAAATTATGTAGAAAATCATTCAGATAAATGAGGAAACAAACAAATATAAAAGATGTACCCTGATAACAGCTTAAGCCTAAATAAAATTCATAAACATTTTGTAGGAACTCTAAAAAGACCTATTGAGGGCATTTGCTGGAAAGGCAATATATTATTAAAGTTTCTCAAAACCCTTTGCAAAATTGAAAAACCCAAACTAACACACTTCTAGTAATGCACAAAGCTTTTTTTTTTTTCCAAAATTGTGTTTATTTCCTCCTCTCTCTCCATTTTACTTTTTTTTTTTTGACATGTGAAATGCAAGTAGGGGTTTTCATTTTGAGTTCTATAATCCCTGTGATAAAAAAGGACTCTCCTCTTGTGCTGCATAACAGAAAGTAAAATTAAAATAATATCATGTGTAGTTAATGGTATGAAACCAAGAGGTTTAAATGGTTCAGAGGAGAAAGGGCCAAGTAATCACATTTCAAACATAAAGAAAATTTCTTCATTTTGGTGGTAGATTCCAAGCAGGTTTCCACAATGAACTCTCAGAGCTGCCCATTCTCAGCACTTTCCTTAACTTTCTGCAGAATGCACAGTAAAATTCAGACTTTAACCAGATGAAGGCTTCACAACACAATTCTGATACAATTTTTTATTAATATTTGTACTAGAAATGAATATTTTATTTTCATGCTTAAATCTGCCTGGAAATATGTATCCAGCAAGCAGCACCTTGAATATGTCTGCCATCAGTTATCCAAAAAATTCTGCCATTGTGTGCACACAAACACACAGCACAAAAGCTTTAAAACTTACTCTGCTTCTTCTCAGGATGGATAAATACTGATTCCTACATTCAGTCTTTAAAAATTATCTTTACTTCCCTTAGGATTAAAACTCTCAACAGCAATTTCAGCCCCAAGGACATACAGTAAATAAAGCCTGCCATACCAACCAGCGTTATTTCAAAGGACTCAATCCCAACAGTTAGAGAATAAATAAAGTTTCTTGTCCTAAAAAGACTTGTTTGTCCTGCAGTGCAGTGGAGAGACTGGAAGTAGTTGATATGCATCCCAGATCAGCAGGCACAGGTGCAATTCCAATATTTCTTTCAGTGTAATTTTCATTACAGCTTTGTCAGGGTGTCACAGCTCCCACACAGCAAAGGCAGGGTAGATAATCTACCCTGATTTCATTGACAATTTTCCTGATTTCATTGACAGCAAGGCAAGACCCCCACACTGCTGGGTAACATCACTCAGCTGTTCCAGCATTGATTCCTACAAGGATTAGAGCAGGAATTAAAATGAAACTCACTTGACTTCACAGGAATGGATGCTCAGCTCTTTGTGCAGGAGTCCACTTGTGAGGTGAAACACCAGGACAGAGCCGTTGCTTGTACCTATAAAAATTGATACAAAAATATAGGCACACATATTATCCTTTTCTTCCATGCTTTAGTGAAAATAGCTATTTCTCTCTCTCTTATTTTTAGATACCTGTAACTAATAATATCTTACAATTTTACAAAAAAATCTATGTGAATTTCTAGCACTTAAATCCCAAATATTGAACCCTCAGCAGCCACTGATAGCCACTTGGATCAAAACATTTTCCCAAACCTTTTTGCAGAGCCTGTAGAAAATCTGATTATTTTCCTCAATTTCCACAACACACCCATCCAGCTGAAGAAGAAAGGAATGTTCTTTTTGCTTTGATTACAGGAGATGAGTAAATGCATCAAGGAAATGTTTTAACTGTTATCCCCCAATAATGCCAGGGGAGAATCCTGGGTAGATTTTATGGAATCATTAAAGCAATTCTGCTTTCTCATCCTGAAATAATGACTTCTTCCAAATTAGAAATCAGTAACCTAGTAGCTTTGAGCTTCAATTACATCAAAAACCTTCTGAAACACTGAAACCTACAATTTTCCATTAGACACTTCATTATATTCATATCAACCCCATGAAATACAACAATGGATACCTAAAGAGCCATTCAGGTACATTAAGAAAAAAGATCTTGCTGTAAATGCCTTTATCCCTATCTGTTTTCTAATCTTTATATTTCAACTTTTTTAACAGTTGCAGCTCATGGGAAACCACAAGTTACATTTTAGCAGCATCACATCATGGATGTGATGGACTGCCTATGGTTTAGAGCTCTGAAAGAAGATGCCAGAAAAATCAGCTTTAAATAGGGAAAATTCTGAGTTAATACATCAGGTGCTCACTAGCAACTATTCTAATAGCTGGATGAGTTTAACTACATTTGTGGTAAGACAGAATAGATTCATCCAGAAAAAATAATGTGCTGCAGGTGTAATTTTAGAAATTCATATCAGAGCAAAAATGAAGTCTCTGTGAAGTTCATTTGCTTGCTGCAGGAATGCAGGGCTGCAGAAGTCCCTATTTCCTGACATTCAGGAGTGTTGGAGATTTTTTCAGGGATGGCCTAGAAGGCAGCTGTGAGGAGCAGATTCTCACAGCCTGTTTCTGTGAACAGCAGAGGTTCTCAGGTTATTTTTAATTACAAGTAAAGGTGACAAACATGAAGGCTTTGAGAGCCTTGCACATCAGAGTTCTCAGGCAGCTTTCTCATAACAAGTGGATGTTCTATCTTTGGCTGTTTTGGGAAAGCAAGAATAATTTTGAGAACCCAAATCTTGGTATTGGAAACATAAGGTGGGGTTGGTGTGTTATCTCTGGCCTATTGTGAGCTCAGATTTTGCAATATGCATGAACTTGATTAACACTGTTATAAAAGGTGATTGATTGATTAATAAATGGGAGTCGATGCTGACCAACGCAAGGTGGGTCATCTCCCCTCTAACTTCAATACAGGATACAGTGGGAGCAACACATAAAATGCTGAGTGTAACAGCAGACCAAAATCAGGAAAAATAAAAACTTGCTACTATATTGCATTTTTCAGGCAGCATTGTTGAAACCCAGGGCAAGGAAAAAACCCCAAGGACTCAGAGAACCAAACCAATACAGGGCTCACTATCTACAATAAATGACACAGCATCAACAGATACATTTTTTTTCTGTACCACCAACTATATTTGAATTTAATACAGGATCTATTACTTCAGAATTCTGCTGAAGGCACTCACCAACAGCAAGGATGGGCTCATACTGTTTGATGTTTTTGGTGGTGAGGGGCGGGCACATGCGGATGGCGAAGGGAGGCAGGGGCAGCCCTGACAGAAGTCCTGTCAGCAGGAATTTGAGGTGCACTTCCTGCAGGAATGAATTCCTCAGCTCTTCTCCAGGGCTTGCACCCTGCCCTGCTTAAAAGTGAAAGCTCTTGTTAGCACAAAGTTTTAGATGGAGATGTTATAGCAAGTTTTCAGACTGAAATTTGTATAATAAAAATTTACAAACAATGTATAAGACACATTTCTTCCTCTTGAGCTTGGCATGATGAAACTTTTCTGCAGACTGGTTGCTGTTTAGAGGTCACAAAGAGGGCATGTGTCAGATAAATTGGCTTCTAAGATTAGTAACAAAAATCCAAGTGTTTTGTCTGAATTCCATTTCAAAATACTTTTTATCTTCAAAGAAAATGAACTTGGAACATTGATCAACATAGAATCCTCAAGAGGATTTCTTTAGAAACAGGAATTCTTCTATTTCAGAGTTACTATTAGAAAATAATTCTAAAAAATACCTTAAGTTCTTAAGGCAAGATGTACCTGATTCAAAACCATAAGAAATCAGTAGCAGTGGGACCAATGGAAGAAATTCTTACCAATCATGTTGTCTAATGAGAGGTCTGGGAGTTTGTTTTGGAATGCTCCCACAGGGATTCCACAGAAGGAGACTGGGGAATACAGAGGTGAAGCACTGGAGCTGCTGCAAGAGAAATGGGAACAGGTTCCTCCTGCAGGCCCCATCTCCATCCCCAAGGGACTCAAAGTGCCCCTTTATTTTGGGCAGCCTTGGCAGCTGTGCCCTGCTGGGCTGGGGCAGCTCTGTGTCATCAGTTAAAAACACAGACTTACCTGCCTTTTATAATATTATATTTTTCCTGACAAAGATCAATGCTTTAGAAATAACCCTTAAGAACAAAAAAAGTAAAAACCAATTTAGATTCTAAACAGCTTTCCTGGATATGCAGCACAAGGAATCCATCTAGCAGTATTTTTGGGAGCACTCAACATAAAACACTAAATCTCTGATGAGCAACAAGAGGATCTATGTTGAAAACCTGATAGTACTGACATTTAAAAGAACTCTATTTCTTTTATGGCAGTAAGTTATTTATTTTATTCCACAGTACTCTGAAGGTTTATTGCAGCAGAACAGACTTAATACATTGACTGTTCCAAGCACTGTATCACTTCCCACAGTATTTTGAGAGACTGCTCCAAATCTAAAATTCTAAATGTTCTGTGCATAAAAACATTTTTTATGCCACCATATTCCAGTCACCTACTCTGCAGCTTCATATTGCTCAGTGTCAACTTCACACAGATCCAGCAGAAAGCCATTCCTCTACTAAAAGTGTAATTCTTACAGACTCATTTTGGTCCTTACATGTGAAAGTGAGGGATTCATTCCTAAGGGAAGTTATGTGGTCTGAAAAAGCCAAATGAGAGGAAAATGCTTCTCCAAAATAAAGCAAATAGTCATTCTAACTTTTTTTAGTCCAGCCACTAAGGGTGGAACTGCCTTAAAAAAAAAAAAAAAAAAGAGCAAATACATTTCCTGCACTTCCTCAAAGAAAGAAAAAAAAAAAAAAAAAAAGAGCAAATACATTTCCTGCACTTCCTCAAAGAAAGGGAACTGATCTGTGTGGAAGACATCATTTGTTCCTCTTCCTTCCCTCACACACATGTACAGCACATGAAGCACTTCCAGGCACAGAATAATCACTCTAAAATCCAATTAAATACTGAACACTACTTGGAAATAAAAGCAGCTTTGGTAAGAAAAATAAATCCCGTTACCTGCTGCGCACATTTCTGCCCGAAATGCAGGATTTTAGCTCCCAGACCATCACCCTGCCATCGCTGACGATGAGAGCGGCAGCGTTCTCGTTCACGGGGCAGCACACCATGCTGAAGGGCCGCACTGTCTTGGTCACCCTGATGGCATCACACTGACTCCTTAAATCATACACCAGCTCCTGAGCTGGCTCTGCATCTGCAACACCAACAGCCCACAGGGAGCACAGAGGGAAAAACATCAATCAATCCAAAAGGGAGAAATGGGAACCATGACTGAGCACTCTGACTGAAATCCATGCGCTTCCTGTGCAACAATCAGGTAAAACAACCAAAAACAACACTCTTGATCTTGCTGTACACAACAAAGCTCCAAAATGTAACCATATATTTATATGTATATATTTTATATATAAATATAATTTATATTTCTAAAATATACATATACTTTGAATATTTAATATATTATTCCATATGAATCTTGAAAAACCTAAAAAAGCAACTGTTGTATAGCTGAGAGAACCTGCTCTCCACAATGCAAAACTCCAGGTTTACTGGTGAAGTTGGAAGTCAGTAATATAGCTCACTAGGAATTAGCAAATTGCCCAAACAGAATTCTCTATGTTTTCCCTTTTTTCCAGTCTCCACCATTACATTTAAAAGACCACTCTTAGTAACATTTCATGAGACAAAAGTTTAATAATTCAGGTTTTAAACCAAGCTTAAACCCATATCTTAGATCTAAAATAAAATTTTCCAATTGATCAAAGTACTTCCAAAATCTTGTGTTTGCCAAAAAAAGTATTTTTCTTTCAGAAAAAAAGAACACACTAATATTTTATTTAAAACATTATTGTACACGTGCCTATTAAACCACTTAGTAATTTAAGTATTATTCAGCAATTAGAGGGTCTTCAGGATATCAATATATTTAATATAATTAATACAATCTATTTCACACAATATCAGGGAATTCTTTCTGAATTTATTCTCAGAATTTTTTTGGGGAAAATACAGCAGAAATTTAAATTTAAATTCAACACAAAAGAGACAAACCATAGAAGGGCACTAGATTCACCATCCTGCATGAGGCATGATGGTCATTAGTGGTGTTAAATTATTAATTAAAATGCATCAAAGTTTATTTTTGCCACAAAAACCCACCTGGCTCCTCATTTGGAGTTGCAGTGAAGCTGCAGTTGGATCTGCGAACCCTCAGTGTGATACAGCCATTTTCATGGAGGCAAAACAACCCATCCCTCTGGAAACAAGGGATTACCTGGGCAAGGAGATGCCTGTTAGTTTGCATTTTCAAAATCTTACCCTTTGCAAAGGACACTTGCAAGGGAGCCCACAATTCCTGATGTTTGAGCAAATCATTAAAAATGTCACCATTAAGGCGCCACTTCCATTAATTTCTTCAGCTACAGGATTTGTGACTAAAGAAGTCAATGAATTGGAAAAAATAATTGAAAAAAATGGAATTCTACCTCACCTGAATGAAAGGCACCCCTGTCCTTTCAATGGCAATCACACCCACTGTCTGATTCACTTCCAAGTCAAGAATCAGAATTTCCCTGGGATACAGTAAGAGCATGTAGTTTCTTTTGGAAGGCAAATATGACAACTGAAGACAGTCATTGAGTGTTACAGATTCAGCACTGTAAAATGAGACATGAACTTTTATCAGGGTGTGTAATGAACAGATCAAATTCAAAATAAAATAAGAAGTTTCATTTTCCCTGCCACTGCATTTTTTCATGTGATCTATATTTTGGGCTCAAGGCAAATGCAGATTTCCATTTCTCTGTCAGAGCAGTGCAAAGCACCACTGACTTCCAAAACCACATTCTGTTGACTTTTGTCTAAATAAGATTACAGAGTAATTTTAACAATTGCACAAGTGTAATTCCTGCACATCTCCAATCCAAAGCAATTCCCTTAGGAACAGCACTGGCTGCCCTGACATTTACTGGCATTCATGGGAAATGACCCTCAGTCACTGCTTACCTCCATTTTGTACCTTGTGTTTATTCCCTTACAGCCTTTAACCTCAGCACACTGACAGCATCAAGCACACAAAGCATTACCTGAGAAGAAATATTTGCAACCCACCTTGGTTTTTCATTACTGATTAGGATTTTGACTTTATCAAGGGCCTTTTTGGCCCCTGTAGCAGCAGCCAGCTTGTTGTGAGAAGGGCTGGAATGGGGACTGGAGATGTAAACTTTCTTCCCTGAGCTGGCAGGAGCTTTGGAAGGGGAGAAGTCAGAGATGAACACTATTCCTTCACTGGTGAGCACTGCACCAAGAAAGAAAAATAGCACAATTCAGCATGCAATTGGATTGTGGCATTCCATTTTCATGAGGAGAAATGCTGCTAACTTGACTAATACTGTATCAGACAGAAAACTCCTAATTCTAGACAACCAGCACTTTCTAACTGAAAGAGCAGCAGATGATCCATTAAAATTAATTGATACCAAAAAACCCTTAATTTTTATATTAAAACCAGTGTATTTCTGGCAGAAACTCAGTTATTCTCTCTCACCAACTGTTTTTCTTTAAGATTCACAATGCAAATTTTTATATTAAAAACCACTGTATTTCTGGTAGAAACTCAGTTATTCTCTCTCACCAACTGTTTTTCTTTAAGATTCACAATGCAAATAGAAGACAAAATACACACTGACTGTATCACCATTTTTTGTTCTCATGCAGAGCATTGCTCAAATAATCATTAATTCACATTATTTATGTTGCAGCACAAAGCTCAGCTGTTCAGCTGAAGTGTTTACAGAAGGCTGAATGATATGGCAGATAAAAAAACCCAAATGACAAAGGCTGAAAACTGCACTGTCCCATTAGAGGTCAGGAGTGATGAAAATAAATTCAAGAATAAAATGGTGACTCTCCTATTTCTCTCAGTTTCTCTCTGCTAAAATTAATAAATCTGCACTACATCCCCCTTGATATCTGGATCACTTCTGGTACTGATCTCACACTGAGTCCTCTGAAATCCTTTCTCTTGAAAATAACATTTATTCTTGGTCTACTTATCTCACTGGCTTCTCCCTCAGCACCCATCCCTTTTTAGCCTTTTATATTTCATATATTTTATATCCTTGGCTTCCTCCAGCTCCCTCTACACACTCCACATTTGCTTTTGTAAAGTCTCAAACTTTTCAGATTTTTAACCTCCCCATTTATGCCACTTATGCTTTCCCCCTTCCCACACAGCAGCACCTTCTGAACCAACATTCCCCACTGGCCAAAGGCTCCCTTTGTTTTGACTTTTTATTGGCATTTCTGACACTATTTTCTCCCATCCAATACTTCTAATTTCCAATTTACATTCCAGTTTAACAATTTTCCTGCTCACACATATCCAGGCCCCACTGTTTCATACATATAAACTTACAAGCTAAATGTGAGGGATCAAAGGGATCAAATGAAAAAGACAGGATATTTTCAGCATAACTTTTCTTCCAAAGTTTGGTGCCAGTGTCTGCATTCCACAGTACAATATAATTTGGTGGGTGAACTGCAAGCAGTAAATCTCTGGAAGCATCTTGATTCCACAGCCACTGCATGTCTGTCAAAAGAAATAGGGAACAAAATTACAAAATTATTATTTGGGATGGTATCAGTTTGGATCTGGACACTAATATCTTCTTCACTCTAAAATCTTTTAATCAGTCTTAACTCCAAGAGTAAAATGAAACTGAATGTAACACTCAGCCCTTTCAGAGGTGGTAGGTAAGAGCTTTCCCTGGTTTCACAGGAAATAAAAGGCTCCATTTGGTCCAAAAAGACATAGAAATCCTCAAATGGAATGGTCAGAACTTCTTTAAACCTTCAGTGTATCAGTGTCAGGAATAAATAAAACCCAATTTATAATGCACACAAACAAAAAGTGATGAAATTAAAATAAACTGTAGTCAATAAACAATTTTTCAGTGGCCCAGTATGAGATTTAAAAAGTTGCATTTTCTTTCACAGGATTTATAAAACAGAAGAATAACAAAAATATAATAACAAAAACCAAACAACCTAATTATATAAGAGGACTTTTATATAATAGATTTTAAAAGCCCACCAGGTATAACATAAGCATCATAACAGATTTTTTAAATAGCTGAAATTTAAAGAGCTGAAATAGCTCTTAAATAGCTGAAGAGCAGGAAGATGTACTTGACATAGCAAATGTTATTATTGTAATCAATAATGTTCAAAAAAACAGAACCAAATTTCATTTTTGTCACAAGAACTTGGAAAACATCCCCATAATGAATGAAATCTCACAACATTCCTCTGGGGGACAGTAAATCTTCCATTTACAAGCAAACACACAGAGGGTTAGTAATCCCAACAGGAAAATTCCCTGGCAGCACTGAGCAGCTGATAAAAGGCAGGTGATGGATTTTGATGGATTTGCACACAGTGCTCCATAAAACAGCTCCCATCTCAGCAGCAGGCACCATCCTTACCCTGGATGGGCTTGGAGTGCTCCTGGATCTCACAGCGAGCTGCTCCTGTGGCCACATCCCACACGATGATTTTCCCTGTGGCATCAGCAGAAGCCAAACGTAAGGAATATGGAGAGCCAATATTGTGGTGGTAATTCTCCTTAGCCCATTTCACCTGAAAATGCAGATGGGGGTTGGTTAAAGGAGACAAATGGATGGCACAGACACCCTAATTCATGTTTTTCAGATAATGAACTCAATAAAAAAGCACAGTAACAGTTAATGCCAGCAGCACCTGTGACTTACCTTTAAGCCACCATCACTTGTGTAAACTGAAGGCAGGTCAGCACATGTGCATGACTGCATGGCTGATATTGCCCAATTACATAAATCAACAATGCTTCTTCCTGGAGGTAACTACAGCAATCCAAACATATACATAATATATGTATATGTACATATTCTTTATAGATACAGAATATATAAAGAATTTGCTCAAATATTTAGAGGAAACCAAATGGCAATGTTTAAGGTTCTGTGGGCACCCCCAAACCTAAACCCACTCACTTCCCATCAAATGAAAGCTGACAAATTATCATTCCATTTTTCTACACATCCTAAAACATGCAATTTTCCTAATCTGACAAATGTATTGTGGTGTTGGTGAGGAAGGAAGGTTAGTCTTTAATTTATGTGTTGTCTCCTAAGAAAACAAAACCAAGTTATTGCTGACATTTGCTACATTTCTGGTTATTTTCATCCCATTGCCACCACTGATTTCCAGGTACCCCTTTCCAGTTTGGGATTTCAAGCTGCACAGGCTTGTAAACTGGCAATACTTATGAGAAATCTGTGTCTGAAATCTGAAACACTCTGGCTACAACTCCTCTCAGATGACAAGGGGAGGGAGAACACTGACTTCTTCCTTATCTATCCCACATGTTTTTTGCTATCTGCTTTTAAGGTGAACTTCTGCCCCAGGACAGACTGCAGACAGTGGCAGAATAAAGAAATATTACTGCTAAACTTATAGCACTTCACCTGCTACAAAAATTCCACCCTGTGTGCTGTCACTGCCTGTCACAGAAAGGACACAGGATTTTCTGCAGATCCTGAAAACAATGACATTTAAACACTGACACAGGACTGTCATCAGGCACCACTAACTCTGCACCACAAACCAGATTTACAGCAGCATTGAGCCCTGCTGGCACCTTTGTGCTGCCCCTCTCAGAGGTGTGAGACGGATCTGTCTCACAAACCAGCTGAATAAATTAAACAAATGTGACACAGGCACAGCACACAATCTCTAAACTCTATAAACTCCAAGTATGTTTCTACCAGAATCACAAAGAATTCTTTAGAGACTCTCCTCTCCCTACAAATTTCATTTTTGCAATTCCTGCTTCCCTGCTGTTCAAGAAAGAATTACTCCTGGGGATATCTGCAGGTGGCTGTGTAAGTGTAACTGTAAAAACCCACAAAGCTATTTATTTCTCAGTTAAATGCATATTACTTCAAAGCAAATTCCAAGTCTGGAAAACATCCTTTCTCAAGGGAGGAGCTGTCACAACAAAGCTCAAAACAACAAAAAAGGAGATCTTTATATGACCAGCCCTGAGCAGAGCCCACGTGGTGCTCCCACCCCATGAATCTCTTTCCTCTCTGCAGTCCCACTGATCCAACACAGGATCTGACCACCTGCTAAAAGAAATTATTTTCTAGCAGTATTAGTCACTCTCTACTTGGCTTCAAAATACAGCAGAATCAGGAACCAGACGTGATTTAAAAAAATTTTCATAATTCATACCACTTCATTTATAAAGCCTTATTATCAACGTTTATTAATGCATCAAAAAGGACACAAAGGTAATTTCAATCCTCTCATTCTTGTGATGGATTAAAAAACTTCTCTTGTAATTAGATTCTCTTCCATAAAAGCATGCTTTCAATACTCTTTGTAAAGGTAAAATCAAATATAATCCACTCCATACAAAGTCTTCAGTTCTGTGCATTCTGTGACTACAAACAGCATTTGGACAGATGGACAACTAACACGGATCCATTTTCAGGGAAGTTTTTACCTATTCCAGACAAAGTTACAACAGCCAAAGGAGAGGATGCATTTAAAGGAAAACAGCAAAATGGACTGTAAAGGGATTATGAAACAATTGGTTTTTCTTTGTTTGCTTCATGACAGATGTGGTGTGATTGGAATTTTTCACAACTGAGGCACAGGTTTTTGGGGAGAAGATCCCCAGTGCACTGACTTTGCTGGTGTGAAGCTTTGCTCCAAGGAGATTAAGCCAGACCTACACAGCAGATTTCTTACAGATCCACTCCAGCTTATTTGTGCTCTTAGCATCTACAAGCTCTTAAAAAATAATTTAGGAATTGAAGAAAATTTCTCAGCAATGTAAAGGTATCTGCAATGATCATGGCCCCATAACCATTTCCTATATAATGCCTATTTCTTCACATAAAGGGAATTCCTTTTCATTATTCCATCTCATTAATTAGCCACTTTCTTACAGTCTATTTCTGTTCATAAAGCTTCAGATAGTGGCTTTGAAAAATTAACTTATAAATTACTGGACTTCAGCACTTCTGTTCCTGTTGAAATCATGTAACTTCTCAAAGGCAGTGAATGTAACAAAACTCATTCAAATGTTATCACTGTATGGATCAAAAACTAATTTTGCTACAATTTGTTACCTAAGATAAGCAAAAATGTTAAAGCAGGACACATTCAACCTTTTTCTTCTACTACAAAAAGATCCCACTAAAAACCCCCCTACCTAAGACTCTATTATTCTTCATTAATTATTTACAGCCTTCTAATAAATACAGAACTTGTGCCAAGGACCATCAAGCACATCTGCCAGGCAAACAATCCTCTAAACTCTAAGTGAAATCTGTCATTGTCCATAATCAAAGAAAAGATGAACCAAAGAAACACAACCTGTTCCACACTCACCCAAAGTCAAACTCTGCAATTTCAAGTCAAGGACCTTCAAAGGAAAGTACAGGTACCCTGCACTTAAACTAAAATTTTAGCCATTTTATATCACTAAAATAAATGTACAGTTTTGCCTGCTATTGCTCCTTTTCTATAGGTAAGAAAAGAAGGAAAAGCTTAAAAGTAACTTCCTAGACAAATGGTGCACTTCCACAACAGGGAGGATCAGAAAGGGCAGCAGCAGAGAGCTTCATTTGATATTTTGTAATGTTCCTCTTATGTTAACAGCTTTCCTAGAAACATGCTCTGTAACACTAACAAATGTTTCCAGATATTCTAGTTTTTATACTCTGTATTTTCCAGAAAGATATACCATCAACCTCAACTCAAATTTCAGCATGCACGATGTGACTTAGCTGCAGAAGAGATCATGTAAAGTATCTGTATTTCACATCAGATTTCATGTCAAAATCACACCAATGAACATCATGTCAAGTGATTTGGAAGGATAACATCAACACCAGAACCAAGTGATAAATAAATAAACAAACCAGGAACATCTCACCTTGACAACACTGGCTTTGTGTCTTTCCAAAACCTGCAAGGTCTGAGCAGAGTTGGCATCCACTACGAGCACGAGGGAATGGCATCCATAGGCAATCAAACCCTGCCAGCCCCTGGGAGAGCACAGAGCATCATCAACCAGGAAAACACAACAAAACCTCTTCACATCAGGAATGAGGGGCTTTTTTGATAAGCTGAATGCATGCTACTAGACACTCTATTTGATGTTTATCAGATGGTAAATACTATTTAGTAACATAAAAGCTTTATAAAATAATATTGCACTGTCTGCTGGAGCCCTGAGCCACCACAAAGCATCTCTTTGTGTCCATCTTCTTTAAGTTTAAAACATCACATAGGAAATCATGAAGATCATTCCCAAATTTTAGATGTAAGAACACAGGGAAGAAATATATTTGCATTGATATAAGTAATTGAATAACTTTTTTATTTATTACTTATTTACAGATGAAAAAGGAGCATGTCAAGAGTTATTATAGGAACAGTGAAAATCAAGTGAGGCTTGTCTGACTTCAGGAGAAGTTAAGCACAGAATCATAGAATGGTTTGGGTTGGAAGGGACTTTAAATCCCACCCAGTGCCACCCCAGCCATGGCTGGGACACCTCCCACTGTCCCAGGCTGCTCCAAGCCCTGTCCA